TATGGGTAATAAAATAAAGAGGCCGTAACATCAATTACAGCATGGCAACTTTTCAGCATTCAGATATCTGTTTTATTGCAATGCACTGTCAACTTAGAGACAATAGGTAGGGCATGACAACTTTCTTTCAGAGCACTGTTATTTTCTATTTCTAAAGAACAGGAGAGTTTAACAAGATCATCTGGAAATTTTATTTATTAAAATATCAGTGATGAGCTGTTTTGTTTCTGTCGAGACCACACTAACACAGGCTGTTCCTAACACATTTTCTCTACTTCCGGGGCCTTATTTAACAAGAACAATAAAATACTTTCTGATAGAGGAAATTAAGAGGTATTATAGAAGAGTTAGGGAACCAGGAGCAAATCGATGGAGACAAATATTGTGATTTTCAACCAAAAAAAGCTACACAACAAGTCACCTGCAGAGACATACAGTGACCGCTAATCAGTGCCACCAAGTCTGATGCTCTGTTGTTTCTTCCCAGACCAATGCCTCCTGACTGTACTATGTACAACCAAACACTCTGACAAGACTACAATCAAACTTTGAGACAAGCTCTCATTTTGTAGTTCAGGCTGGTCTCAAACTCACCGTGTAGCCTAAGCTGGCTTCAAACCTGTGATCCTCACCTCTGCCTCAACCTTTCATGTATACCAGATATGCACATGGTTGGCTAATGAAGGAAACATTTCTGGTGCCAGTTACAGCTGACAATAGGCAAGCAGTTGTGAAGTTTCCCAAATAAATGATCGGTACATGTCAACTCTAACATACTAAATCAGAAATGTCTCCTCAGTGACAGCAGAATGTCACTTATGTCTGTCCAATCTTGAGATCCTCAAGGCCCAGGGACAGAGCTAAGAAACATACAATGCTAATAAATGATACAGTATCACATTCTTCATTTGTGGGGATGCTAGTTCATGCCAACTGCTCTTTGCTTCTCCATAAACAAAGAGACCAAAACAAAATAAAACAACAACAAACAATCTTATTTTCAGCCACTGGTCAAAGTTTGGACATCTAGATGATAACAAACCTGTGAGGTCATTGACAGTGCATATTCAACTGAAACTAAATATCAACATTTCTGGTGTCCAAGGCCTTTTAAGTTCTCACAGAAAGTCCACAGACCTCGGAGATCAGGTATTTCCCACTTAAGACAAGAGAACTCTTTAATTTACATTTTTTTCTATTTCCTAGTTTAAGCACATTTACGGAATATGGTAGAGTATTAGTTGGGTACATTATCACCAAGAATGCCTCATCAACAGTTTCAGGAGTGGATCACCACCAGGAGTGAGAGAAGCAGCAACCATCCAGATTCAGCAGATATGAGGAGGAGAAAGAGTGGGAAGTGAAACAGGTAAGGTCACTGCAGTCATATCACACAGCTAAGAAAACATTACAAGTGACATATTTTAGGAAAAATAACAAAATGGGCTCCAAAGTACTGACATGCTAAAAGTTTTTTAAAGTTAAAATATCTGTACAGTGATTGATGAGGGGCATTTCACACTTCATCTCTTGCTGCCAGTGAATGCCGAGTTTACACCAGGGTAAACCAAACCCACAGGAAAACAGCTGAAGGCGCCAGAGTGCCTACAGGTACCAGCAAATGCACTGCAGACAAGAGCACCATTTGCCTCCAAGTAACTCTGTGCGCCCCTGACGATTGGCTCTGGTTTAGATGGAAGCCGCCTCTGTGAAGCATAAGGCTATCTGGTCATAAGGCCAATGTGCAGTGTGGTTATCAGTCAGATTACAGACACCACTCTTCAGTTTGGAGAGTTTCGTGCCCTGCTCGCCGTTAGCTCACTGCTGGGGACGTCCTCTTACTTCACTCAGGTCAGTACAGGAAAGCAGGCACTATTTACACTGACTCCATGATCCCTTTCACCGAAAGGAACATGCCTATGTCTTGCTGTAACATTAAAATGATTGCTTTTGTTTGTTTTTGAGACAGGCTAGCCTAGAACTCACTATGCAGCCCAGGCCAGCTGGACCTCATGGTAATCCTGTTTCCTGAGCACGGTGGGTGTGAGGCACCACGCCCAGAGGGGAATGAGCTCTCTGAAACCTCATCACACCTAGACTTAGAAGCACAGTGTGAAATACGGTCTGAACAGACACTGCCATTCCTGACCACTCACTCAGGTGGAAAGAGCTTTGCTGTGTGTTCTGCAGCTCTGCTCAGGATTGTCCTTGTTATTCTAGTGTCTACAGAGGTGGAAACCGAGTAATTATGTAACAAAGAATGCAGAAGACTTGCATCAGAGAACCCAAACCTATACACTCCAGTCAACATGACTTTACACTGTTGGCTTCTGTTGTCACTTGACAATCGCACAGTCTGATTAGTAGCTTGGTTTGAAAACCATCATGTCTATTGCTCTCGAAGGGCCAAATAAGGTGAACGGATGTCTAAAGAGAACAGTGCCTCTCTTAAATATCTTGGTAAAGAGGAAATGAAAATCCAGGTTAAAGGAGAAAAAATTTGGCAATAGATTCACTATGGACAGAGTGGCTCTAGAGAAACCCAAGTATGTGCCTCCTTCTCCATACACGTGTGACCTTATCTGAGAAGCATTTACAAAGACTCTGCGGGGGGGGGGGGGATGATTGGCTGGGTAAGTGAGGCCCCCAGTTTTGATTCCATCTCCATAGTATTTGCTATCAGTAGTTTCAGGTGAATATTCGGATAGCTAACATAATTTTATGATTGATGCTACTCAGTGTCCGCACACAGATAAATATTATAAGCAATGCTATATAAAGTCTCACGTATAGAACATTCCTAGAATAGGAACTTTGAATAGAAACTGGAACATCTGAGCTCCTCTCTTTTCTTCTATTTCTAAATTGTTCTTTATAGGAAATCATTGCAAATAGAATTTAAAGGAAAAAATGCTAATTTTATAAAATTTGAGAAATAAAAAGGCTATTATAATGCATTTCAGTAAATACGGTCCGTCCGTGTCCTCAACACGGCAGCACTGCGCTCTGACCTCCCCGGCACTTGGCGGCAGCGGTCAAGGCACATGAGCTGTAAGACCGCTGGAGGACAGTGTGAAGGAAGGGTGAACTGAGGCGAGACATCCAGGAAGTTGAGCTTGACACAAAGCAGGTCACCTTCCAGGGGATTCTAAATATTAATTACCACAGCTGCTCTCCAAGAAGAGAAGACAGCAGACATAATTCTTACCACAACAATACACCAGTAGTAGAAAGCAAAGCAATTATTCACATTCTAAGAGCTTGGGGAAAATCAGAGAAGAAAGCTTACAGACTGAAAGATGGGATTCAGATTCAGATTTCATATTAACAGAAAAAAAAATTTTTTCCCCGAGGGAAGAGTAACTTCCTACAACTGACTGAAAAAAGGCAGCTACAGAGCTGTGCTGGCAGCTGCCACACTGAGGTTCTGGGTGTCTGACCACTGGCCGTAACAGCCCACGGCTGAACCGCAGGACAGCTCTATCTAGTCTACAACAGGAAAGCAGTGCAGCTCTTCCCATTGTCTGGGAAGACCCCGCCCCTTCTGCCCTGGCCCTTCTGAAAAAGGGGGCAGCAGAAGTCACAGGCTGGGGACAGATGAGAGGTACAAGTAGCAGCATCTGAGAAGCACCCACTTCAACCCCCAGGGCAGCTCAGCGGGGCAGCAGGACTGTGCGGCGTGGACTAGATCGGGAGCGACCTTCTCCTGAGGAAACCGAATGTAAAACTTACTTGTAATATTCTGATATGTTTTTAAAGACATCCACTGTTGCAGCCTGACAGCGCTCTTCCAGTATTCTTAACCATCAGATGTATTTCGGGGGAATATTTATTCACATAATTTTGCTTAATACAGTTCTTTCTACAAAGACTGAATTTAAAAGTATCCACAACATTTTAAATTACAGTAACAACACATTAATAAATTATAAATTAACAAAATCTTTATATTTGCTTAAAAATCATTTATCAAATGCTAACTTCCAGATTATCTGGAAAACTAAAACTGCAAGTTGCTAGAAATCTGGCATCCCAATTATATTCTGATTTTTAAAAGTATATAAAATGTCCCTCAAATTACTACAAGTCCCACTGCAGATGTGTTTATTTCACCCTTTTCATAAGGTATTAAATTTACAACTTGCTAAACATTTTACCAAACATGGGAAAACTGCCTGGCAATGCAAAGCACAATGAAGTAGTTACACAAAAGGAAGAAAAGATCCCTGTTAGGACAGTCACTGCGGCCCCAGCATGAAGACCTGCAAATCTAGACTTTTCAAAGTTGCATAGCTGCAAGATGGTCACTGCTAACAAGCTATTGCGCAGTTTTAGTTCAGAAGAAACAATGTATTTCAGAAACTGCAATTCAGCAGACAGTTCTACATTTAATTAACTAAAATGTAATTATGTAACTTGATTTACTCTTTGGATGACATTTTTATAATATTAAACCTTTAATTCAAACTACTAGCATATTTTAGCTTTCCTACCCAGAAGTCTATTTTTCACATGGGGGGAAAAAGGAAGAACTTAAGATTATCCTCTCCATTCACAGAATATTATACTGTTTTGATTACATTTCTTGGTTTCACATTGAAGAGTTTGTAAAAACTAAAATGGGCGGTTTTCAAGTTAAAAATAGGTGAATGCAAAAACATTATGCTGGGGAAAATAAGAAGTCCCCAAACTAAAAACAATCAGACAAACAAACAAACAAAACAAATACAATAAAACAGCAGCTCTACAGAACTTAATAAAAAGTAAATCAACTTTGAAATTAGTTAACTTTGGCGTCCGAATACAAAATGTTTATCAGTATCATCTACGCAGTGACTAGTACAGGATGTGCAGCATTTTCAAAGTCCCTGTGTGTCCCTTATATGCAAGTTTGGTGCACTCAAGTTCTGTGGTTCCCATCCATCTCTGGACCACTGAGTGTCACAGAACTCAGATCCTGGCTGAGTAAGCCTGCAGTTTTCTTTTTTTTTTTTCTTTTCCCAGAGACAGATCTTCAAATCTTCCAGATTTCTCAAGCATCTTGAAAAGACAAGAAAACCTGCATAAAAATAAATTATTCTAAGTCATGGTCAATATAGTAATGATAACAGAAATACAACACCCATTCTCCCACGAAGAGTACTTTATTACTGTCACCTTTCATACTACTGTGTTACTACTTCAGAAATTTATAAAGTTATTATTCTGTAGAACAAACCAAGAAACAGAATGATCAGTTAAAGCTTAACATAGAAGAAATCAGCAAAAACTGAAGTCATTCCCTTTCCACAGTAAGTGCTTAAGCACATACACGAACACACAAAAACAAAAATCACACACACCTTCTCAAACTTAAAATCATCTCCCCAAATAAAAGCAGCAAGCAACTTCATAATTAATGAAGACTGTACAAATTCATGTCTCTATTTTGGATTAGTAATTATTAACTTCTTATGTTGTTGATATAATGTAGGGCCTTTGCTACTTAAAAAAAAAAACAACACACTGTTGATTTAGATTTCTGCAGGCAGCTGTGTAGAAAGATCAAGCTATCTCATATAAGTTCATCTCCAAGCTCAGGTGTTACCTAAGGTTGACATGACCATGAGAGGGGATGTGTTCCAAAATCCCATGAGCTCACTGTGACATCAAAGAAAAAAGTGTAGTGATGAGACCATGAAAGAAAAAACTAGGTCTGTTGTGGTTTTAGGGTTTGCTAATCTCCATCACGATAACATCAGAACCTTTCAGGGTCAGTGATCACTCTTCTGCCATCCAAGGACACCTGAGGAATGATCAAAGACACTCTGTCTTCTGGCCCCTTGATCTAGGACTTTCCAGTGTGCAAGAAACAGAGCAGAGAGATTTTGTACCATCAGCCATCTCAGGTACTTTGTTAGGTTTCCTTGACCACACTAGAACATACTAAAAGGAGCATATTTATCTGCAGGTTAAAGATTTAGGGATACACTTTACCATGTTAAACACTAAATACCTTTTTCTGTAGCTTAGCCTCACCCAGAACTTATACCACCATGCCTAGCAAAACTTCCATTTTATTAGTACTGTTTTTTTTTTAAAAAAAAACTATTTCTTTTAAATGGTTCAATAATTTCTCATAACGGTATTGACCCAGACATAGGGCAACACACAACAGTATTTCAAAGCATCCTCACCATCAGAAAGTGTTTCAGAGTTCGGGATACAGCTCAGTGGCAGGGCACCACCTAGCCAGAAGAGAACTTTAAGTTTAAGCTCTAAAACAACAGGATACATATTGGGACTGTGAATGTACCTCAGTGTAAACTGCTGGCATGTACAAGACCATGGGTTTGATTTCCAACACCATAAAACAAAACCAGTAAAATCTCTACCTTTCCAATAGTGAAATAAAAACACAGATGCACATGTGCCCTGATACAACCTGACTACATCCCACTGCTTGGCACCACAAATCTTACTATCCCATCTGTACTTAGGATCCTACGAAGACCCCAGGTGATAGTCCCAGTCTCCCGTGCTTTTGCTTTCACGTGTACCCAGCTGCAGTTCTCTCTTCTGAATCTGTTAAGCTTAAGTTATCCTCACCAATGCTACAAATAAGCTTCTCGACTGCACACCTCAGTGCCTAGACTTCTAAAAAGCAAGGGATACTAATTACAACATTTATTTATTGTCTGTGGAGGTGGGCACATGGGCGGAGGTCAGATAACATGTGGGAATTGGTTCTCTCCTTCCACTCTGTGGGTCCCAGGGATGGAATACCAGTTACTAGGCTTGGTGATAGGCAACTTTACCACTGTCCTAGTTAGGGGTTATCATCGCTGTGATGAAACACCATGATCTGGGTGTCTGACCACTGACTGTAACAGCCCACGGCTGAACCGCAGGACAGCTCTATCTAGTCTACAACAGGAAAGCAGTGCAGCTCTTCCCATTGTCTGGGAAGACCCCGCCCCTTCTGCCCTGGCCCTTCTGAAAAAGGGGGCAGCAGAAGTCACAGGCTGGGGACAGATGAGAGGTACAAGTAGCAGCATCTGAGAAGCACCCACTTCAACCCCCAGGGCAGCTCAGCGGGGCAGCAGGACTGTGCAGCCCTTTGTAAACTACCTGACTCAGACGAAACGGCTTGCACTAAGTTGTACATATGCAACACAAATGCTCCGGTGAGTGTGACACAACCTACTTTTTAAATCATGGGACTTAATCTCTCTGACCCTTAAAGAATGTTCTGGAAAATGTGGTCATGATATGTACCTCACTGTTTGTTTCCTCCCAGTATTAAACTGTAAGTAAATAAACAAACGTGTTTTTAAGTATCAAGAGTATTCTAGTTACTCAATACCTAATTCTACTCAAGAATCAAGAATAGCTGCTTTTAATTAAGTAGCTTTTTGCTGATGTTTTGGGAGTGGTTTTTGGTGATGGAAATTAAACCCAGGGCTTTTGACAATCAGGTCTGTATTCTAACACTTAGCCTCCTTAGTATATTTTTAAATGTGAGTTTTTATATAGTAGTCTTACAAAATACTTAGAAAACATACACAGAGATGCACACAGAAATATGCCTCCGTGAATAAATGGATGAATGACAATTAGAGTTAAGGGCCTGAGGGACAGATAGCTCTGCGGCGAAAGTCACAGCTTCAGAACCTGAGTTCTGGGACCTACATGGTAGAAAGGCAGAACCACTTCCTGCAAGCAGGTTGTCCTCTGATCTACGCACACATGTCAAGGCTTGAGCATAACCACATGCTGCAGGCCCATGTGAGCACAGGAACACACACACGCGCACACGTACACACACACAGTTGAAAAAACTGAAGATGAAGTAGTAATTCAAAATAAGATTTTATAAATCAATTAAAACAAAAAAGGGACAAATTACCCATGACACAGGAATCAGATGCTTAATCTGAAGGGTGCTCTGGACAAGATCTATTTACTTCAAACCATTCATCTATGCAGCTAGAAAAGAACAAAACCAGAAAAGTATAAATCCTATGTTTAATCACACCCTACAGTCATAATAAAAATATCAACTACTTAACTTTTAGTGTCTTTGGAAAAAAATCAGTATCTTTAATGATCACACCTGACAAATACAGTAAAAGATATTAAATATACTTCAGTTGTTTTACATTATTAAAGGGGAAAATCCTCGAACTATTATGCTATGACATACTTTCAAACTCAAAAAGATTAATTATTACCTTAAAGACCTACCATTTCATTAATATTCAAGAGTTAGAAAAACATCTCCTTTTCAATAGTTACACATAGGCCTGATTAGGTTTGCCTATCAAGGCAATAAAATTAAAATGCTTTAAAATTATAATTCTTGACAATATTGTATAACTTAAAAATTCCATGTTTATGTGTGATTACTGAACCTTTAGTTCTACCCTGCTCTGCAGTCCATATATACACAGACAAAGAAATCCTAATCTATTTGTATTTGTAGAGCATTCATGATCTTTCTGGAAATTCTGCACAGGGTACATACAATTATCTTCTTCCTTTGGGTTTGCGTATGTGTATGTATGTGTGCACACGTGTGGAAGTCAAACACAACCTTGGAGGTCATTCCTCAAGTGTTGCCCACCTTTTTAAAAACAAACAAACAAACAAACAAAACAGGGCTTGCTACTAGCCCAGAATTCGCTAGGCTGGTTAGTGAGGCTAGCTGTCCAAAGAGCCCCAGGGATCTACCCAGCTCCACCACCTCCTTAGCACGGAGACTGGAAGTGCTAGTCACCACACCGGTGAACTTTTCTGTGTGTGTTCCAAGGACTGAATCCAGGTCCTCATTCTTGCAAGGCAAGCACTTTATTGAGCTATCTTCAAGTCCATAATTACTGTCCAGTGCTCAATTAACAATGGAGTCCAGTTTTGCAGTCCCTTTTTAAGTGCTCTCAGTAGTGACAGGCAATGGCTGCTGCACTATCAGCACAGATGGAACACATTTCCCTCACTGTACAAAAAATTCTTTTTACACATTGTTCCTTCACTGTCCCAAATTCACAGAGCTGTGACAAATGACAATATTGATGTCTTCAAAGGACAAGTAACACGGCCAGCAGTGTGTGAGTCACTAAAGCAGGACTCAAACTGTTCTAAGTTCTCACTGGAGGTACTGTTAATTCCTGCATGCTCTACAGTCAGGTCAGCTAGTATCCTGAAGGGGAAATGAAGACAGGCCATTCTCATACTCTGATGAAAACACTAGAAAAAAATGTAAATGACCTCAGTAATCATTCATATCTTCCAAGTGACTAAAGTAACTACTGATACCACTCAAATATTTGCTCTAAATATCAAACCCTAATTTGGTTATGACATGTTTTCAGTCTGGACTGTACCACTGCACCCTAAAAAACCTCCCATCCACAAAAAGACATCTTAAAACAGAATGCTCCAGTGTGGTTACACTCGTAGTCCACTGAACAGCACTTATGCAGTCTAAAACGGGTTCTTACTTTATTAGCCACGTAATCTGGGCTCATCATGAGAAGGTAATAAATAACTCCAGGTCCCATTTCATGTGAACTAATACCAACCCACATAGTTTCTATTGTAAACTACCTCATTAGTTGTTCAGACTGTGATACCCCTTTCTCCTAGCAGCTCCAACAGGAAATCAGCATTCTAAATATAGTACTTTTTATTCTCAAGCATTTTCTTACCACATAACTCTAAAGGCATGGATTTTAAAAACACACAGCATTGTCCCATGTTTAAAAACCTAAATCAGTGCTATCATAAATATTATTCCTTATTTTTGCCTTCTTCATATGTGCTTTTAAATTTGTATTCCATTATGTAAGTACAGTAGATGGATTTGATGCCACAAGTCAGAGTTGCTTGGGTTGCTGAGGCAGGAGGATTAAAGGCTTAAGACCTAGAAGACTTGATATACTGTTTCAAAATAAATATTGACAACAAGCAAGCCACAATTTACTTATTTATTCCTTTGTTATAGATAGTCCCAATTATCTTTTAACAGTCTCTGAAAGGTCATACAAATTATAAATTAATCTTGTCACTAATTACAGTTTGAATTGGTATTTTAGAAAGTCACAGTAAGGCTTTTTCAGTGCTGGCTCACATCCTGCTTTAGACGCCTTCTTTCCTCTTGGGAACTTTGGGCAGTAGCTGCTGTCTCTAGACTTGAGAGTAGAATGACTGACTGTGGCAAATATACTGTAACTACAGCTGCCTACCAACTTCAATCTTCTTTCTGAATTAAGAGCTAAACATTTTCATTTTAAAAACATTTTATCATAATTTATTCGTGTGTGTGTGTGTGTGTGTGTGTGTGTGTGTGTGTGTGTGTGTGTGTGTGTGTTTACGCTCTGGTGACCATGTGGCAGCCAGAGTCCACGGGAGTGAGCTTTTTTCTTTCACTTGAGGGTTCTGGGGATCAAACTCAGGCTTAGAGATGAGCACTTTTACCCCCTGAACTATCTTACTAGCACCATTTTTTTCTTTTTCTTTTTAAATGAGCTATAGATTTTTTTCTTGCAGATTTTCAAGAACCTACTATTATTTGGGTATCTCAGTTATAAAATATATATTTGGGGTGGGGCCAGGGATCTGAAAAAAGGTCTTGCTATGTTGATCGCAAATCCAAGACCTTTCTGCTTCAGTCTCCTAAATTCTGTGATAACAGGTAGATACTATCATGTCTGGCAATGTATAGTGCTTTTAAATAAACTTTTCCACAAAATTTTAAACTCAAAGTAAAAAAGTTTGATGGTAAAACTCTGACTAAAGGCAGACCATGCAACATAACTTGTTACCAGAACAAAGACATGTTCATTTCTAATAAACACTGTATTTCTGGAACGTAACGAGTTTAGTGTCATATGTATTTCATGGCTTGTTGTAATCAAGTGTGCTCTCGTGTGCAGCTCTACAAAGTAGCACTTACGGTGCTAGGAAAGGTATCACATGGACCAGAGTATTACCACGTCACTACGCTGTCATGCTTCTGTCTGCCAACTGCAAGCATTATCTGCTCTAGCAATTAACCACAGGACTGCATGTTAGCTCAAACACAAAACTTTTGTTGTCATGCCAAAAGTCATCTCCACTACAAAGTCTAGTGTCTACTGCAAATGTAATTTTTAATAGCCACAATTTTTAATAGTCAATATCAACCTTCTAAGTTTATCTTTTAAATTTGTCTATGTGTATGTATCTATGCTTAAATGTATGTAAAGTACCATGTGTGTGCATGATCCCTTGAATGTCAGAAGAGGGGGTTAAAACCCCTGGAACTGGAGTTACAGGAGGCTGTGAGCCATGCTGTGAATGCTGGGAACCGAGCCTAGTCCTCTATACAAGAACAGAAAAGTACTCTTAGCTATTAAGCCATCTTTGAGCACCTCCTAAGCTTATTTTAGGGGGGTGGAGGGAAGAATGGTATATCTTTAAGAAAAAAAAAATTCTTACCAAAAGGTCAAAAACAATTTTCTATTTTTTCCCTACTTCCTTAGATATTTGAATTTCAGTTATATGGAGACCTAGAATTTTTATTTCAAACTGTAAAAATGATTCAACTATTTTTCCATATCACTAACAATATCAGGCGACCCCAGCACTGCCCAACAGTACACTGTATGCTACACTGCAGCACCGCTGTGTACAGTGTCACAGACACAGTCAATTTAGTGCCAGCACGTCCGAATCCTCACAGCTACATGAAGTTTGTACTGTTGTCCTTAAACATTCAGAGACAAGAAAATCGAAACCTGTCTAAAATCACATACTAAATTAATTAGTGGAAGGGTTGAGAGCCCTGATTCCAGTCTCCATGCCCTTAGGTCCCATGCTGTGGTCTCCCTGGTCAGGCTCATGTGTTTATGGACTTAGTTTTGTCCTTGCTTGCTTACTTTTTGCATCTCTTAGGACATATGTCCTAACAGGATTATTCTCCAAGAGGATGGGTACTGTTCTTTGGCCCTTCACTTGTTGTCCCATATATATGTATTTTTATAAACACTGTTCATTTACAAGAAACTAAGACTAGACTGGAATAACATTAGTTATATAGGCTAATTAGGGTTCAAATATAGTTTTTATAATACTGAATTTTTCTATACACACCATGTTTTACATGTATTTTAATCATATATACCTTACATTTCAATAAAGTTTTAAATTTTTTAAAGACTCAAACATCTTTTCTAGAAATTATTCCTAATACATTATTGCTTTTGCAGCCCTTTTAAAAAAATAAATTTTAATGTTACTATTTAAAGAAAAGTTCTATTTCATTTTTTTCTTTATGGGACATGAAGGCAACAATTTCCACATCACCTATCTGGAAACCCCATAAACTCTCATTGATTTTATTAATTTTTATTCTCTCTCTCTCTCTCTCTCTCCACCCACCCACCCACCCATCCATGTGTATGCATGTGTGTAAGTATGCAGGAGCCCTGGTGTGTACGTAGAGGTCATAGGGCAGCATACAGAAGCTGGTTCTCTCCTTCTGCTATGCAGGTTTGGGGTAACAAGCTTGAGCTGTCAGGCTTGGCAGCAAGCGCCTTTACCTGCTGACCTATCTCACTGACCCGGTTATAATAACTCACCTGTTATTTAGCCCGAGTTTCTGCTTTAAAGTCACAAACACAAATGACTTTTCCTTAAAGCACCCTCATTTACTGAGTAGCTGTTCATCCCCAGCATAAATCCAAATTGGTCCCGAGGTATAATTTCCACTCATTTATTTGCTTATTTATTTTATATGCGTGTGTTACTGGTAACTGGTGCCAGAACCTAAGGCAAGTGCTTTCCCACTGAGCTTATCCTCAGCATGATACACTATTTTAGACAGGTATTGTTAAATCTGGATTTTTGCATTTTAAGTTTCCTTTGCACATGGTCCTTGTCTGGTGTCCAATCTCTGCTGTTTTCCAACTCATTCTCTGCATGGCAGACTCCACTGTCAAATCATCTCTGAAAGCCTGCTTGAGGGTTCATTTTTCTCCAATCAATGTTTGTCATTTTTCAGATTTAATCTGAACTTCTTAAAGCAGTCAGTAATTGAAGTTTTGAATTTTTAATCAATATTTATAAAATTACACATTATAAAAACTGTCCATTTGTTAAAATTTCTAATTCAAGAATATTAGCAGTGAGTTTTCCATTTATTCTTAATTTGTGCCAAATTATGTCCTTTTCTACTTTTTTTCCCTTCTGGAGACAATCCTGCTGTAATTATCTCCAGCTTCAGCACACCGCTATCTTCACCCTCCATTTTCTTCTGTCTGCTGCTGCTCTGCCGACTCACCATCTACTATGAAATCCCCCAATTGCTCACTCTAGGCATGTCCAGCTGTTTATCATTGCTCAGTTATAGTTACTTCCCCAGTTCCCTGATGATTTGTTCTGTGACTTACAAATTATTCTGAAGGATATCTAAGAGTAAGTTCTGCTGCCATTCCTGGTGACTGATGACGGTGGAGGTATGGTGCCAGTTGTGAGAATTTGCTGAGATATGCCTAATAGATTAAAACATAACTGATTTCTAAAATATTCTTTGTGTCCTTGACAAGGAAATGTATGCACTCATCAGACTGAACCAGAGGGCAGGGGATCAGTTCACTGAGAAAGAACAGCTCAGCACATGCCCTGAACTCGATCTCTAGTACCAGGAAATGAAAAGAGACTGGAAAGGCGGAAGCCAAGCACAAGAGCACACCCAAAACACCTGCTCTCAGGAGGTTGAGGGAGAACAAGTGTGGGGGCAGCCTAAGCTACGTGCAGATTTTGAAGCTATCTTGAGCTATGCAATTAGATCCTTCCTATCTGCAAAAACAAACAAAATCAAAACTTGGCACGCTAAAATGGTTCAATTTTTCTGCATATTTGACTCATTTATTTTATTTGTTTAATCAGGAAAATTAAAAATTTTCCATTATGATAGCACAGTTGTCAGTTTCTTATGTTAACATAGATCATCAACAAAAATTTCAGTGTTTACCATTATATAGTAACTCTGTTCTAAATGAAGCATCCTTTAATGGCTTACATTGTGTGGCACTAGTACCCAATGTTAGGTTTAGCTATCACTGCCTGGATATAGTTCTCTATCCTTTTATTCCATAATAGCCTGTACCTTTAAAGCACGTTACTTATCAACATTATATTCTAATATTTCACCTACTTTCAGTTTATTCTTATAGATATAATTACTGGTATGTTTGGATTTATTTTAGTCTCCTTATTTTGAATTATTTACTCTGTTTTTGCTATCCTCTCCCCCATTCTTAGGTAAAATTCCATTTTATTTTCCTTGGTTTGAATGCTACAACTTCCTATTCTTTTTTTTAATTTAAATGTATTTTATTATTTCTTTTAATTTTGTGTATGTGTGCATTTGAGTACCAGTGCCCCCTGAAGACAGGGGAGTTAGATCCCTCTACCTATACCCTCCCCAAAGCTGGAGCTGCAGGTGGCTGTGAGCTGCTTGACACAAGTGCTGGGAGCTGAACTGACCAGTGTGTGCTCTTAACGCCTGAGCCAACACTCCAGTTCCTAATTTTCTATTCTTTATGTGGCTACCTTAAATAGTGGTTTTTTGCAACAGGTCTCTCTACTAGCCCTGGAACTCACTATGTAGACCAGGCTGGCCTATAATTCACAGAGACTCACTTGTTTCTGTCTCTTAAGTGCTGGGATTAAAGAAGTATGTGACCACACCTGGCTTTGTATTTTAAACTCAAAACTGTTCTGTATTATTCTGAAAGCAAGAAGAATTAAAGACAGAGGGGCTTGGGAGTCAATCTCCTGGAATTCCCAATTTGTTGGAATCTCGGTTTGCCGCTTGCTAGAAATAGAGGCCTGGAGAAACCGCCTCCTCCTCCTTTTCCAGCTGTAAATGAAGTGGCTGCTCGGCTGACACTGACCACCTGCTGATCTACATGGAGACAGCTGCACCACACTAAGGGCTTTATAAACGGCAGTCTAGCTACAACAGGCGTCTGTTCAGATTTTATCTGAGCAAGGGGGAGAGCAGGAGGTGGGTGGGGTGCTACTGAGATTCTAAATTGAGAGGAAGAATTAGAATGAAGAAACTGCTTAGCCCTAACTACAATGTTTGAAACTAAGAGAATAATCACTTTACTTTAATATCAACCTTGCTAAAGTAATACTAAACTTACCCTTTATGATATACACACAGGCAAGGCAGTCGTGCTATGGTGTCTCCCTGCTGCAATTCTTCAAGGCATATTGCACATTCCCCAGCATCTTTACTCAGCACATCCTCTGTGAAGAAAAAAAATGAACTCAGTACAAGAAAACTAGCCTGAGAAAAGAAACGAAACAAAAACCACCAGAGAATGGCTCACTATACCTGTACAACTAACTATACAAAACTCAGCACCTGTACTGGAAGTGCTGTTCACACTGAATGAAGCTCATCACACCTGCTTCACCGGGGCATAAGAGTACCCAAGGACACACTACAAAAGTTCTCAACTCACACAAGAGTCTGCTCCAAACAGCCAACAACTCAGTCATTTGAAATTAATATTCTTTCTGTTATGTATCAATATTAGTGTAGTGTCCATAATAGTTCAAAAAAGTTTAGTGCAGTATGGCTAAAAAGAAATGAATATAAAATACCTTTATAAGTGTTTTAATTAAAGGAAACAAAAAGAAATCACCCTGAACCGAAAACAGCTAAAAAGTTGCTTATCTCAAAAAAAAGAAAAAAAAAAAAAAAGCAGAAGGATGTCACTGCTCTTGTTTAAATTCTGAAAGCGACTTTAGAAACTTGAGGGTTTCAGAGACTGGGCAAGGAGGAAACTCTTCACAGCCCTTTTGTCGACAACGCCACACCAACCCAGATGGTGATCAGAGTGGCTTCCAGACAGCGCTGAAGATATTTTGAAGACTCTATGGTGTTTAAAAAAAAAAAAATGAAAAATTTCTTACCGCACAGCAGATATTCCTTTAAAGAGCTCTGAAATTGCAGTTTAAATTGTTTTAATATTATTTATTTATTTACTTTTGAGGCAGGGTCTTAATATGCAGACCTTACTGACTTGGATAACTATATACAACAAGCTGACTTCAATTACAGAGATCCTCCTCTGCCTCTGTTTCTGCTTCTTGAGTGCTGGGAATAAATACCCCAGCACTACACCTGCTTAACGTTCAGTTTTAACCCGGCCTGAACTAGCACGTTAGTTAGATATCCGCCGTGACCTCAGAGCTGTGCTGACCATGCCATCACTGCAGAGTGTGAATAAAAAGTGTGGCTCCCTCTCAATGATTCATTCTGAGACAGCAGATGGAGGGAAAATAGTCTATTTTGGTCACAGAAAAGCCTGGCAATGAACAACTTCCATGAATAAAAAAGGTATCAGTGCTCATAAGCTAATGCATTATGATCGGCAACTAACACAGAGATAAAAGAAAGTGTTATACCATTTCCCTTTTCCTGTTTTCTCCCTACATTAGAGTTCTCTTCTGTCTCCTTCTTTCCCCTTTTCTTTATCTCCACTGAAGTCTCAGCATCTAGTATATCATTTAAGGACTAGTTTCCAGTTAAAGCACTAAGCAGACAGATAGCAGAAAGAGTAAAATGGATGGGATTCATTTCCAGCATTGCAAAACAAAGAAAAACCACGCTGTAAAGGTTTGTTCTAAAAAGTACAGTATATTCCTACCACGTAGATTTATCCACAAAGATAAATCAATATAAAACCAAATCTGTGAATGAGTTTTCTAATAAACTTCAAAAACAAGGCACTACTTTTTATGCAACCCATAAATGATTATGAGATGCATTACCAGTTTCATATAACTCAAGTAAGAAAAACATAGCCCTGTAAGTTATGACACATACTCTGAGCACACAGAAAGCTTAGGCAGGAGGACTGCAAGTTCAAGGTTAGCCTGAGTCATAGAGAGACCCTGCTTCTGAAGAAACAAAAGCAAACAAAACTTCAACACACATTGATCTTAAAACAAATCGGTCTCTTCCAGCTGCCTGACAATGCATTCCGGCATCAGAAGAACTCTCACACTCATCCCAAAATAAGATTAATGAAATGAGCATTTGAAAAACAAACATCATTACTATTTTCCTGTATTCTATGGAACAGATTCAACATAAAATAGAAATATGTAGAACTTTAACATGCTCTGAATATAGTGTTGAAAGAAAAATAACTGACTTCTAATATTTCTAGGCCAACCTATAACCAAGTCTCATTTCTTTATAACAGTAACTTAAAAAGACTTTGTTATGACAATTTTAGTATTTATTAAAGCTAAAATCTCTAATTAAATTTAAAAATAGTATAGTCTACCTATAAAACTCATACAATCAAGGCAAATTCAATCTACAAAATTATATGAGAATATAATAAAAAATATAAGAATTTATTCTAAGAATTCTAAATAATGCTGTTTTAAACTTGATGGGGGCAAATATGAACCCTCAGATATTTTCCACCTTAACTTCAGAATGCTGTACTAAAGCCAGTTATTTTGATCTTTAGTTCTATTCAGCTCCAGGACAAAGACAACTGTACTTTAATATCAAGATGGGCACCCAGACCCACACCCCAGCAGCTTACAGTCATAGCTCAGCCTCTGCTGCAACAGTGTTAACACGCCAGCTACTCAATGTCAAATGTAATCTGGTAAGCAACTAAGTTAGTTCATTCTTGAAAGAAAACCTCATAATCACTGAATCAAGGAAAAAATGTTCAGTTTTTCAAAATTTAAAGCCCCCCCATAAAAATCTACCTGAAAACATCTTTACAGTTAAAAAAAATCACCATGCAATGTAAAAATTGAAGTAAATTTTCTAAGTGTTCGTCACCGACCGAACACACCTGGAGCAGTAAAGAGTGAACTTGGTGCCCGGACATCATCCTACCTCTCAGGCTCATTAGCTGTGTACTAATTTTGACGTACAGATAAGGGAAAAGGAAAGTTAAGACATGATTTTTAACAAGAGGTGGGTGCCAGAATCCCTCTGGGGGTGCAGTTCATCAAAAACACAGAGCTTCTCAGTGTCTTACAATCTACACCTGCTTCAGAAAGGGGGACTGGTCACTAAAGAAGGGTAGGAAGTGCAGGAGATCTGAAGTTGAGTTGGGTGTGGTGGACAGTCCTACAGCCAGACCCAAGAGGCTAAAATGGGAGGAAGGTATTCAAGGACTGTTAGGGTACACAGTGAGAAACTGGGGACGGACACACACCGACATACACACGCGCATGCACACTACACCCACACACACACTCACACAACCCCCATCCACAAAAATTTATGGGTTGGGCATGGTGGCCCATGCCTCTACTTCCAGCACTTGGGAGGTAGAGGCAAGAGTATCTCTCCATGAGTTCAAGGCCAACCTGGTCTACAATAGTGAGCTTGAGAACAGTCTAGGTTATGAGACCCTGTCTCAAAAACAAAAACAAAACTAAATTAAAAAGCTGAGAATTGAAAATCTAAGACAGATTCCCATTTTGTTAGTAGTTTGACTAATAGTCAACCTCTGAAATATCCTACTTGTCTTTAGTATTAACATAGAATATGTACTCAAAATATTATAGTTAAGATTTTAAATTATGTAAAATACTCTAAATTACAAAACATTACATGAGATTTGCTTTATTAATAGGAAGCACTTTATGAACTTCTTCAAAAACCAAAGCCAATTAGCATCCTATCCCTTCTCCTACTCATCCTGATATTCCAGTTGTTCAAAGAATTCCCTGTTGACTAGGAACGTCTTAGGTACTTCTGCCCTAGCCATCTTTACACACCTGTTACTATGGCCAGACTAGCACAGCAGCATGCCAACGGCGGCCCAATGTTGCATATGCTGTGGCTTCCTTCCCACAGGCATACAAACCAGCACTTTATTACATTCTTTTGGACATACTTATGTTTTATGTTACTCTTATACAATAACAATTGTTATCTATTTATACATGAGCAAAAAGGCTGGAGGAGGTTAAGTGAGTTCACAGAAGTATTAAATTAGTTGTGTTCTAGGACCAAAACTTTAGCTAAATTAAATAGGTTTTTGCCTACATCATAAATTGTGTTATAATGAAAAAAATTCACTTCATTTTTAAAAGCTTTCACATTAAAGTAGCATAAATATTGATGTAAATGAACAATTTTAGACAACCATAAGATTGTGAAATTCTCAAGCTGGAGAGGATCACATATTTAGAGAATGTATTCTTTTTTTGGTTTAGTTCTGATAAAACTCTGTGTGTGCTAGTGCCCTGAGGCCAGAGGCGCTGGATCCAAAAGAGTGGGAGTCGTAGGCCGTTGTGAGCTGCCTCAAATGGAACTAGTTATGGAACTGGGGTCTTCTCTAAGAGCAGCACGCACACTCTTAACCATGGAACCATCTCTCACCAGCCTCTGGGGAAGCTGTTAAGACTGGTCACACTTCATCTTCAGGAGTTAATAATAAATTATAAAGGTGGTAGTGCATAATCGCTCAAGCTCCACTGCTTCAACAGCTTAAAGCAATCCTTGCCAACAACATCTTTTATTACAAAAGAAACAGTATTATCTGTGCTATCTACAGTAGCCACATACCAACTAGAATCAGCTCTTGAATTTTCAACTTGTGGTAAAATACCAAATCTCAAAATATATAATAGCTAATGAACATACATTTAAAATCTAATTAGAAACTTCTGTAAATTGGTATTTCAGTTACAGCTTCTCAAGCTCTTTAAGGGTGCACTGTCCAAAGAAGTACTTACAATTCAAGCAGCCAACTATGCAAAATTAAAATATTTAGCAGGTCCAAGCATATAACCATACAGTTGTTGTGGATCAAGACAACATGAAGGAAAGCAGACAGCCAAAAAGTTTCCAAAGCCAAAACAAAACCAAGGCCGAGTGTGAGGCAGCCAGGACTCCATGCACAGCCTAAATCACCACAGTTAACTTTCAGACAAGCACCAAACAGGAGGCTCATCTTTCCAGCCAATACGATGCCGAGCACTATCACAGATCAGGCGTTTTACCTGAAGATTTACTTTTCCTTGAGCCCTCAATGATAGCAGAAGAAAACAAAAGCAGCTGAAATGTGAAATAATCCCTGAAAATCAAGAATTAAAAAAAATCACAATATTAGTAAAAAGCAATTACTCAAATAATGAAAAGTGGGGCTCTTTTATTAATATTTTCAGATATTTCTTAATTAGTTTAACAGAAGTCAATGCTAAGACTTGACATTTCAGATCCATGAGCTGTTTTATTCAAAAACTGTAAT